TAAATTTGTATGTGCCACTGGTGTGGTGAGAGAAGGCTCCCAAATAATTATCACTGACCATCATAATGAGGTAATCAGATAGCTCCTTGTTATTGGAAAGGAATAGCTACTAGTAAAATTAAGATATTTGCACAGGACATTTTTAGGCTACTGTTTCCAATGTGATGTGGCTTGATTTTTCTTTATTAACAAACCTTTGAAACCTCAGAAGCACGTTCACAGTAGCCATTTACAAAATTGTCAACATCATCTTGGTCTGCAAACATCAGCTGTCCATGTTTTGGAACTCCTATTGATTTCAGTCCCTGGCATTACTTCCTGGAAAGACCAAAGCATGCATCCATGCTCTCTATCAAAATTCCATTTTCCTGCAAGTCAAAAAAATATTGTGGTGCAAAATTACCTAGGTTAAAAAATTTTACCTAGTGAAAATTGAAATTTACCTTAGAAAAAAAATTACCTGCAACATATATGAAAATGGTTCCTCACACTGTAAAATATTAGCACATTCAAGGCAGAAGTACTGCTTGGGGCCACAATATTGACATTGCATTCTTGCTGGTTCCTGGAGGCAGTAAACACATGTTGTGTCAGTCGGAAAACAGCATTCCTCCACATAAGAATCAAACAACTGTCTTCATATGTTGTCCCATTTCTGGTTGTTGGCGATATGTCTTTTCTCGTACGAAGATAGACTAGAACGGCTCTCTCTAAAATCCTCAATCGAGAAAGGTTCGACCATCTCAGGTTGTTCATTTTCAACTGAACCGGTTTGTGGGGTACGAAGCATGGATTCCGCCGTCAGTGAAAAAGTTTTCCTCGAGTTCTGCAAAAGTAGCGTTGAAAGAAAATGGCTTGAGCCGCTTTCTGCTCATTTGAAATTATGTAAATTATACGGTCCCTACGAACTGGTATACCACATAAAACACCGAATAAAAGGCTACTATTAAAAAAGCCACCATCGATAAAACACATGCTGGATAAAACTTAGGAGGAATATCTCTTGTTGATAGAACGACAGAAATGAAATCTGGCAATGTTTGACAACGAGAATGCGAAGAATGTATTTTGAAGTGGGCTGAGTCCAGCAAGGGAAATTTCTTTCTCCGGGGTGAGCCCATTTCTTCGGAGTGAACCGGGTGGTCATGGCGACCATCTCCTGCAAGAATAACCCCATCCTTCATCGCCTTGACTTTCTCTAACATCTTCTCCTGGTACTTTTGCCAGTACTCGCA